CCTTAACTCTTTCTAGAGTACACGTGCTTCCTAATTAAGAAATATGTTTTCGCAGACGCCTTGCTAATATTAATGTTTACCCTGAAGGTATATAAAAAAGTATTTCTTGTTCATGCGTGACGACTTATGAGACATCTTTTTAGACAACCCACCAAACTGTGAACTTAAAACAATTTTTTGCAAGGCTTTGTGGAGTTAATAGAGTATATTAAAAAAAAACAGTTTTGCCAGTTCTGAAATCAAGATCATGATTTTCAAATTTTTTTTATGTTTAAACAACATGGGTAAGAAGTGTCCTACAGTTCCATCCAAGACATGCTATTCTATAGTATTAAGCTGATTTTCTTATATTCCTGCAAAAAAAAAACTGGATAAATCACTGTAATCACGTCAGCAAAGGATTGATTGAGTGATTTGTGGGGTTTAACGTCCCAAACCACCATATGATTATGAGAGACGCCGTAGTGAAGGGCTCCGGAAATTTTGACCACCTGGGGTTCTTTAACGTGCACCCAAATCTGAGCACACGAGCCTACGACATTTCCACCTCCATCGGAAATGCAGCCGCCGCAGCTGGGATTTGATCTTGCGACCTGCGGGTCAGCAGCCAAGTACCTTAGCCACTAGACCACCACGGTGGGGCCACGTCAGCAAAGGAACTGAACATCTCTTTTCTCAAAATTTATGTAAGGAAGCTTTGTCGTTTTTCTGTTCTGATCTATCCTGTTCTAACTGTTTTGCTGTGTGAGGTTGAGTTCAATATTGCCACGGATACTCCATATCAATGGGTTCTGCAACGAAAATAAACTCAAAGAATAATACTGAATTGTACCCAAAATGAGCAATCAGCAAAAAACACTCACATAATAGCACCTTCAAACTAAATGAAATAACGTGTTAATGTACAGTTTCCTTGCAGAAGTTCACACTGTCGTAAAATTTTCGCACGCACATCTTTCTATTTCTACTCTCAGTATGTCCACTGACACATTATTTCATATATGTCAACCCCTGGCTGTAAATCACAAGTGCTTACCCATCCCGGTGTCCATTAAAAAGACTGTCAGGAATATTTCCGTCTTTTTTTTTTTTGAATATGCAGTTCAGGCCATGGTACGAGTAGTTTGTTTAATGTGAGGGGCCGTCCGTCCAATGAATTTAGTTTCTTCCTTTTTTTTTCATTTGCATACTTCACCCATTCTAAAATAGCATGGCAAACATTTTCTTCTGCATGACCACAATGACATTCCGGGAAGTTGGATCAATGTATTTTGTGCAGGAAGCTGTTTGTCTATGCTACTTTCAGTCGAAAACTGTGGATTAGTCTCTTTAAGTGCCATGGGAGATCAGTCGCTATTGAAAATGTTCTGTCTAGATCAACTTCATAAAGTACTGAGTCCTTTGACTTGGGGCTATCAAACCACTTTTTCATAGATCAATGGTTAGCTCCTTGCGTTTGAAAATGTCGAATATCTGCCCTAGACATAGGGATTGCGAACTCCCGTCCTTCGTTCAATGCTTTCTTGGCGAGGCTGGCTACCTCTTCAGTACTCTTTATTCTAATATGACTATGTATCCACTCTAATACAACATTGTAACACTTCGCTGAGGCATATTCCACAGTTTCTGCAATACATTGTGCTATTTCGCCATTTTTGTAAAGGGATCTTGCATGTTTGAGTAGCTGAATCATGGCAACGCTGTCTTCAATAATGAACGAGGGAGTTTTAAAGGGACGGTAAAGTGATTCCGCTAAAAATCATTTTAAGCTGCGGAAACGCACTGCATCATGAAAAAATTGAAGTGAAAAGTGAGAACGGGTGTATTGTTTGTTTATTTTCAGTCACGCTATATCCCAATAGTGTCCAGCGCTGATTCATCAACATCATAAAAAATCTTAAGTGTAATAAGTGCATAAAAAACACACTCATAATTTAGTAGAGTAATAAGAAACAAATGACTTTATGAGCTTTCAAGTAGATATTTTCAGTATTCGTTTGTCAGAAAAAATGCTGAGTAACCCGGCGCTAAAGCATAGCTAATAAAAAATACCAATCAGTGTTTCAAGCATAAATATTAAAATTAAAAGACCCTAAAGCTTCGCCTTTAGGAGTTTAACGCGATATCGACATTCTGTTTCGAGTGTGTACGTCAAACACTTAGTGCATAAAACCTTTTCGAATTTGCTATGCACTCACTAGGTGGCCTTAAAGTGCTCTGCAACACTTTTTGAGCATGGTCAGAAAACGCTGCCAATCAGTAGTAGAGGCTCCCGACAACACACGAACCAAATAATATAGCGCTGCACGTGGCCTGGAATTAACAATAAATTATCAAAGTCAGCTGAAAATTGTTTTCCCTTCTCTCGACAAATGACGAACGGCGCCCAAAAATCACTCGTACAAAGCCCATCCATCACCCATTGGCTGATTTGAATATAGCGCGCTTGGTCGTTACACAGATCGCCGTGGGAAGCTGCGACTTGTCGACGCGTGCGTGCGCGATCACGCTCAAGAAGCCACGCATTCGAAGAAAAAAAGAAAAAAAGTGCTTAAAGTCACGACGTTATAAGTACAGCGCTTCGTCCGTCTCTTGTTACTGTTCTGTGTTACGCGCTGTTTTATCGCTTCATTGACCATGTTCCAGCCGGCCTATATATACACGTTTGTGCAGGTGACGTATTTTCTTGGCCCCTGTCATTCCTCCCTGCTTAGCTTCCAGCGCTTTCGTTGGTACGAGAGAAGAGAAAATGCAATTGCAGCATGCGACAAATCTTTGTAGCTCCATTCGCACTGGACGTATTCTCAAAATTTGTGAAGCGTTGAGTTCATGAGGCAATAAGCTCTTCCAGTGAATTCATTCCATGCTTACTCGAAAAAAGTGTTTCAGGGCGCCTTGAAGCGAATACACGCCATAGCGTGGGTGCCATTTGTAGTGGGGTACCGGCAACGACGCAGCCAATATGATAATCACATATTCTGACACCTGTTGGCTATGAACTCTCGTACCAGGCATTATTACTGCAATACTTCATGTTGAATTCTGAAGCATGTATACAGGGCGCGGTGTGTTTGTGAAGCATGAAAGCAACTTTCACTGCATTTCCAAGCAGAGGAAGTTCTTCTCACTGTTCTTACAAGCAGAGCGAGACCGTGTGGCAGAACATCCGCTTGCCAACGCAAACGACCGTAGTTCGATCCCCATAAAAAGCCCTGGTTCAGTCCCCACTCTGCTCCAGGTTTTTTTTTATAATTTATTGTATATGCATCGCTCTCAATTGTTCGCTCACGCATAAGATGATGGTTTTTCGCTTACAACCGCCGACACCTACGCCGGGATGGCTGCAAAACGTGCAAAGAGCAGTTGCGGGTTAAAATGAGCCTCCGTCATTCTCAACCTCTTGCTAAAAAATAAAAAATAAATAAAAAATAGGTATGCCGAGCCAGAAGCACTGACGGAGACGTAGTCTTCGAGAATCTCTGCTGCTTTATCAACCTAATTTCCATTCACTCATGAGAGAGAGAATAAAAAGATGGAAGGCTTACTAGAATCTGGTCTGATACCCTGCACTAAGGGGAGGTGGAGTGGGAAAGATGAGAAGTAAAGCGGGGAAGGGGAATGGGGAAGAAAGATGAGATGGAAAGCGAAGAGAAATAAAAAGTATTTTACGCACAGGACTTGGGCTCGCCAAAACTTTTTTTATATGAATTCACTCGGACAAGCACTCGCGAAAATTTTTTTTTTAGTGGATTGACGCGGACTCAAATTCATCAAAATATCACTCTCCCAGGCTCCCTCAGACTCCGACTCACGACTTGATCTGATTCCGAGTGAGTCGACTCACGAGTCTGGTGGTATAGAATTATCTTTTTCGACCATAGCGTCAATGTTTTCTCACGCCAATATCTCACATATTCGTGCATTTTTAGGCGCCTTTTGATATGGCACCTGCTTTTACAAATTGCGGGTGGTTTCAAACCCATAAAGACATTTTTCTTGAAAGAGGTAACGATATCAGGTATATTTATAAGGAACTTTCCTGGAAGAGAAGATAAAGCGGGGTCAAGCAACCTCTACGCTATCCACGCCTTTAATCAATAGGTATTGAAAAAATAGTGTTTGAATAAGTATAAAGGTGATTTCAGGTAATTCTGATAGTAATGGCGAAGATGAGTAGGTAGGACTACAGGTCGGCAAGAAATGATGCATCTCACTGGGACTCGCTCAAATATTATATATTGCGGTTTGGAGTCCGAAAAATTATTTTTTTCCAACTAGACTCACTCGGACTGAAACTCGAGATAATAATACTCATGCGGACTGTCTCAGGCCCAGACTACGGCTTGATTCATGTCGTAGTAAGTCCGAGTGAGTGGATGCATGAGGAAATTCGCCAACCTTTGCTGACGTGTGATATACAACACAATAGACCCTATCCTTGCGTGAATGTCACTGCTTTGCACTCGTTCCGTCTGTCAAAGTGATGAATAATTAGCACGAAAACATGTGGCCCATTTGTTTCCACCGTGAGACTTGGGAGGTGTTGTGAAGGTAGTGAACACTTCACAGAAACTACATTCGCAGCCCCGCACGCATGCGTGCTGTTTGTGTAAACGAATTGTGAAACCATATACATGTCGCTAAAAGAGGACGAAGTTCAACAAGGATTCCTCTGCGCAAGTTCGTATCGAAAGTCGCAGGACGTGCGTCCTCGTTGGGCATCGTTCCTCTCATTTGAGCGGATGTTTACTGACACGTTGGCCCATAAGACGCCGCTACTGTTTTCCAACTCGCCGGCCCTCTCCGCTTCTATGCAAGAGTGCGTGACTCCTCGACGCTGCCGCTATCAAGAGTTGAACGTTGAAGCCGGGGGTCAAGATGGGCGACAGCCTACGACCGGCTCGGTGCTGCCATCTTGCGTACTATAACTTCCTCCAACTGGTAACGCAAGTTTTCTCTCGCCTCTTTTCCTTTTTGTCTCTCTTCTATGCGCACGGCCTTCCTCCTCTCTCTCCTCGTATCTCGCTGTGATGCTTTGCTGTTGTTTTGCGCGCTGGCAGTTGTTTCCGTGCCAGCTTCGCACATCCTGCAAAAGGGGGAGGGCCCCTCCGGGCGAGCTGGCTTGGCGGCAGGCACTACTGCTAAAGCGGCCGACCGTTTTCACCGGGGTCTTGCCACGCGGGCGTGGCAGCCAGTGAGAGTGCAACCACAGCTGCTGCGTCCACGCCGACACTTGTCGCACGAGCGTCAAAGGAGCGTCCCCGCGCGCACCGGCGTTTTACGTTTTTCCTGCCACAAGCCGCCCCTTGATTTGCGCCGCAGGTGAGTGTGCGAGCGGGGCAGGGCTACGCGCCTCTGCGAGCGATGCTTGCACAGGTGCGTGGCCTGTCGCCCACCGGCAGACTCGCATTCCATTCAACGGTTATGCAATAGAGCGCGGCTATCGTGGATAAATATCAGTAGTGTCAATGAGCATGCAGGTGACGCTCGTTTCGCTTTCAAACTTGTGGATTTCGCTTTCTCTTTGTATTCTTTTTCCTCTGTGTTGCTTGCATTGCTTTGCTCAAAGCGCGGCTTTTCCAAATCCGCCGTCCCCTTCTGCAGGCCTCAGCACTCGCACTGCGTTCATTAGTAGCTGAAGCGCAATGAAGCAGACCATGCGTGACTCTGAGTCAAATAATGAGCTCTTTATTTGGACGCCTGTTTTTGAACTTGCCGACGTGAGCAACAGGTGCAGATAATGTGTCGTTTAGGTCAAGCTGCTATATAGGGAGCGGCGTCTGCCCACAGCTTCATGAACGAAGGGAGATTTTAACTCCTTCAGTAGATAAAAAAAGTGGCAGCAGTGCTTTGCCAAAGTTCGTGCCTTGGTCGAAATTTTATTGTACAAGCTAGTATAGCAGTTATATCCCCATTCTTGAAACATTTTCGTGACAGGTTTGAGCCTATATCGGAGCATTCCGGCCTGCTTTATTGCTCAGTTTGTAATTTATACTCACTGGGAGTTCTGACCAAACTAATGCGCTCACTTTGCAAAGAAGTTTCAGTCGCAGCAAGGTTGACGTTACACACACGTGTCGAAATTCCTTGGTTACTTCTTGTTTGGTTTCTACTTTGCTTCCTTGAAGGCCAGCCTTTCTCTTATTTTTGAAGTTATATATAACTGTAGGGGTTTTATCATCCGAAACCGTGATAGCATTATGAGAGACGCATTAGTAGAGGGCTTGGAAAATTTCGGTCATCTGATGTTATTTAGCGTGTGCGTAAATTCATGTACACGGGCGAGCATTCCACCTTCTTCGAAATGTGACCGCCGCTTCAGTGATTCGATCCCGTGACGATTCGGGTCAGCAGTGAAGCGCCGTAAGTGCCACCATGGAAGGTGGAATGCACAAACTTGAATTGAACTTAAGTATGCGTATAGATAACACAAAAGGAAACAGATACTTACTTTTCCTGGTCCGCGCGCAGCTGCCGATATACAAGCATTTATATGTATATAATATTGTATTCCACTATAATTTAGACTATTAGAGAAAGAACTGTTTTTTTTCTTAGTTCAGCGGACAAATGAAAAAAAAAGTGACCGTGCGTATTGCAAATGACCCCGTGTTTTTGTTTTTTTTTTCTCTAACAGAACTAGGTACTCACAGTTCGTTCATTGCACATGGACTAAAAGCATCGCCTTTCCTCGAGAATCGCTGCTTCTTCGGAACAGCTTATTCTCTAACCGCCGAGAGAAGACCTCGTCGCGTGCTCCGGTATCTGTTCCCTTGTCTTTTCGTCACAGCGAACTTACAGGAGGCCTCGAGTCGAACGCGGTAGAAGCAGTTACATGCTCGGGTGAGCGCGAATATCAGACGCCCGAACGCCTAGGAGGCTGCGGCTCTCAGACGAGAGAGGGATTCTTGGTCGCGGCAGACGCTCGTTTTTAGAACCACGAAAAGGGGGGGAAGCGCCGAGCATGACGCCTTTCTGGCATTTGTTTTTCTGTTCGCGGCTGCAAGAGAGGAAGCAGCGAGAGCTCTTCCAATGCGACGTCCTTCCCCCACCTTCGGGTCGTCTGCTGGTGTTCGCTTCAATGAACGAGCAACGCCTCGCGTTGACGTGATGTTTTGACCTAGCGGCCCCATTGCCGGCGCAAAACAACGGGATGCGGCCGGAACGACAACTGCACGAATGAACGAAAACTTTGACGGCTGAATGACTCTGAGTGGCATATCAATGCACTGTTCACGCTGCGTTGGCTGCATTGACAGCAGAGTTCGTGGTCTACTGGTTGGAGCCCATTAACGTAATGACGCGTTTCATAGGGACCTTGAGCAATTTCTTTTTTTAAATATGTAGTTATTTTTATTTCGAATTTTCGCACAACTGTTCGGCTACCCCTACTGAAAGTGCGCATTATCACATACACGAGATAGGCCAGTTGCATATCTTTGCTCCATGTTGCATGCTGTTTCTTTTGCGTGCGTATATTGAGTCGCGCTTATTCAAAGCCCTGTTTTGCCGTGTGCCACGAACGGTTAACAAGCTGTCAATAGCTGTGTGAACAAAAGTCAGCTACCAATGGCATACTGATTGACTGATGAGCACATATACATTATTGCTTCGTGGAAAAGCTTTTCCCTTAATTCTTTAAAAAGAAAGGTTGTTGTTTTATCCACGGGGTGTTGTTTAGCCATTCTGTACCTCAGTGGTCGAGATCCTAGTTTACTCGATCCAGCTAATGTAAGACCCATTTTCATAACCAAATGTTTTCTAAGGAAAAAAAAAAAAGCTATTCTGTTTCACGTTCCAAGACCTCAATACAGTTACGAGACACGCCGTGGTAGTTGACCGCAGATTATATTTGACAGCCTAATGGTCCTTAACGAGCACTTTAATATAAACGCGCAAAAGCTTTTGCATTTGCCCGCATTAAAATGAGGCCACCGCTTTGGGAATTGAATATACAACGGCAAGCTCAGCAGCTAAATGCCATTACAAAAAGGCTGCAGTTGGGTGAGGTGGGGAATCGGAAGGTTTCTGGTCATTGGTACATTTGTGCACGAACTACGTCAGCAATGTACAGTAGTATGGCATTAATTGTAGAACCACAGAGGCGGCGATAGGAGGGGGGTAGGCTTTCATGAATGTGAATATTTAGCGGACACAAATATGGCATGGGCATAAAGCACGCCTGACGACCACTACTTTTCCTTAAATGATGACTTCGGCGTCGATAAATGTATCTTCTGGGGCATTTTCGACAAGGACTGATTGTGTTGGCTTTTCCTGGCGATAATTAAGTCAGTTGCCAATCATCATCGTCACCATCAACGGCAATATTCAAGAGAGTGTATGTACCATTATTACCTTTCCCGCATATTTAGTGAGGCCTGTGGTGCCGAAAAGATTGTTGGATGACAAGCGACAATATAAGGGTCCTGCTGCTAAATAAACTTCGCGGCCTCTTGAGCTTCTCTTTAAGACCGGCTTAAGAGGCCACGAAGTTCTCATGCTTCTCATCTCGGTCGATACCTCAGCCGTGCTAGGAAGGAAGGAAGGTCTGTGGGAGTGACATTGGACTTTGTGAACTCGGAAGCCTATTTCACAGCTGCGAAGTACTCACTATGTGTCGGTAAAGCAACGCGTAAGTACGCCCAAGTCGCTGCTCATGTCGCTGATACTGTAACTGATGATGATGTTGATGATGATGAATTATGACTGGGCGTTTTTTATTGGGTAAGCAGTTTGAAACCACTCACTCGTTACGCGATTCACAAGTGTGATGCCCGGCGTGATTCCACGCTACTGCAACAAAATATCACATATGCAAACGCGACTCCCCGGCCGACATAATCCTGAATTGCAGAAGCTTGAAACTGTTTCTGAACAATTTCGAGCACCATGACTTGGCTGTGTGGGAAACTATTAGACTGCTATACGCACATTTCCCTGGTTCCATCGTGGCTCGTACCCCACTTTTTATTCTTTGCATCCATCGGGATTTTTAGATCACGGACACCGCCGACAACAACGAATTGTCTACGACATGAATTCCACAACGCAGTCGCGTCAAAAAGTTACGGTACCCCGTGTTCTTATCTGGGCGTTTGAAGGAACAGTAAATCAGGAATACGTGTTTTATTCCATGTGTGTGCTGAAAGCTGTCAGAAACCGCATGTTGTTTGCTCAACACAAGAGTCCGTAAGCCGCATCGTCCCAACAATTGAAAATTCGGTCACATGAAATGATGAGAAACCGTAAACGGGCGATGTGGCAGTTGACGTTTCGACGAGAGGGTTTGTTTTCCTCGCATAGAAGTGTGATAGAGATGTCAATGTAGCTTATGCATTCGAAGCTTGAAATATGCAGCTTTCCCATCTAGAGAATATAGCATTTATAAAACAAGATCTGAAGGACTTGTGAAGTGATAACTCTACCGGCTACATCAAGGGATTGAAAGGAAGTGGTCACCTTTGAGTTCACCGTTTTTTTTTTTTTGACGTGTATGTCCGTATGAGCGATTCAATTATGAGTGCGGCGGGAATAAGTGGCGCTTGGATATGTAGGTTACACTAATCGAGGTTGCGCAGTTTGCCTGGACAAATCTAGTGGGCATTGATCAGTGTAACAATGTGGCACCTCATGAAGATTGCGTAATATAGCAGTAGAAACGTCCGAAAAAAATCTAGAGTAGCTTCTCTCGAAGTTGCCATCTCCTGAGCTCGCATGTATTATTGATATATACACAGAGTCGATAAATAGCTCACACATGTTGCCGCGCTACCTAAGATGGGAAGTGGGATGGAATGGTACAGGCTGTTCTTTTTTTTTCAAATAAAGCAAGCGAAAGCTTTTTTTGCTGTGGCCATGTAATACTTTATTTTAACTGCGTTATAATCGAGCTTCACTAGCGGATGCAGAAGGCTCTTTTCTTCCATAATCACTGGGTGACTGGGGTAAACAGAGTCCGACCACACGGGATGTAGAAAGAAAAAAAAAATGAATATAATCAAGCGATCGAAAAGAATGCTTTTATAATTCCTTAAAAACAAGAATAATTAGCCACATTTACAACTATTAAGCTTACAGCAGCCATTTTACTATGATTTTAGCTCTGATAGGCGTTCTTGCGTCAGTTTATACTGGTGTCCTACTTTTTAAAGACAGCCCTTTTAAGTGAACAAACAAGAAGACACAAAAAGAGAAGGCAGCGTGATGTTTTGTATTGCTGAGGAGCTGGTCGCTAACGTTGTTAGGGTCAGTGATTTCGCCTGTGAAGACGTTTTTTCAGCCGTTAATATTCAAGCTAGTTTGTTCGCCTTGATACGACA